TTATTTGGTGCTTTTCCAAATTCTTGATGTAGGCACCAATTGCTGTAAACTTTCCTCTTAACACTGCTTTTTCTATTTCCCATAAATTTTTATACGTTGTATTGTCATTTTCATTTGTTCCCAGAAATTTTTTTGATTTCTCCTATGACCTACTGTTCATTCAGGAGCATGTTGTTCAGTTTCCATGAGTTTGTATATATTCTAGATATTCCTGAGTTGCTGATTTCCAGCTTCATTGCATTCTGGTCCAAGAAGATGCACGGTATGATTTTGATTTTTTTTGAATTTGCTGAGACTTGCTTTATGGCCTGGCCTGTGATCTATTATAGAGAAAGTTCCATGCACTGCTAAGAAGAATGCACATTCTGCAACTGTAAGATGAAAAGTTCTGTAGATATCTGTTAGGTCCATTTGGTCTATAGTGTCAATTAAATATGCTGTTTCCTTGTCGATCAGCAGATCAACAAGATCTGGTTTATCTGTCCAATGCTTAAAGTGGAGTATTGAAGTCCCCCATTACTATTGTATGGGAGTCTACATCCCTGTTTAGAGCCATTAACATTTCTTTTAAATAGCCAGGTGCCTTGTAATTAGGTGCATATACATTTATTATAGTTACATCTTCCTGTTGAATTGATTCCTTAATCACTTCATAGTGCCCTTCTTTGTCTGTTTTTGTGTTAAAGTCTATTTTGTCTGATATTAGGATGGCTACTCCAGCTCTTTTTTGGTTTCTGTTGGCATGGAATATCTTTTTCCATCTTTTCACTTTCAGTCTGCATGCATCTTTATTGGTGAGATATGTTTCTCGTAGGCAGCAAATAGATGAATTTTTTAAATTCATTCCACCAGTCTGTGCCTTTTAACTAGAGAGGTAAGGCTTTTTACATTCAAGGTGACTATTGATAAGTAATGATTTTGCCCTGCCATTTTCCCATAAGTATTCCTATTGTTTACTTTGAATTTCTTTTGTACTTTTCCTAGGAGATTTCTTTTTTCTTTTTTTTTTTCTTTTTTTTCTTTTTTTTTTTTTTTTGACAGGCAGAGTTAGACAGTGAGAGAGAGAGAGAGACAGAGAGAAAGGTCTTCCTTCCATTGGCTTACCCCCACATGGCCATCATTGCCAGTGCGCTGTGCCGATCCAAAGCCGGGAGCCAGGTGCTTCCTCCTGGTCTCCCATGCGGGTGCAGGGCCCAAGCACTTGGACTATCCTCCACTGCCTTCCTGGGCCACAGCAGAGAGCTGAACTGGAAGAGGAGCAACCGGGACAGAATCCAGCACCCTAGGATATTTCTTTCCTTTTCCTTCTTCCATAGTGATGACCATGTTCATGTGTTTCTGTGTGCGGCACATCCTTATGCATCTTTTGTAAGACCAGATGGGTGGTGACAAATTCGTTCAGATTCTGTTTGTCATGCAAGGTCTTTATTTCACCTTTGTTCATAAATGAGAGCTTTGCAGGTTATAGTATTCTGGGTTGACAGATTTTTTTCTCTTAAGACTTAGAATATATCTCACCATTCTCTCCTAACCTGTAGGGATTCTGATGAAAATTCTGCTATGAGTCTAATTTGAGATCCTCTGGAAGTAATCTGCCATTTCTTTCATGCACATTTTAGATTCTTTTCTTTATGTTTTACTGTGGAGAGTTTAATTAGAGTGTCTCATGATGATAATCTTTTCTGGACATTTCTATTAGGTGTTCTATGTGTTTCCTGTATTGGTGTCCCTTTCTTTCTCCAAATTGGAGAAATTTTCTCTTATTATTTCACTAAAAATGCCTTGTAATACTCTTTCTTTCCAAGTCTTCACAAACTCCTAGAACCCAGATGATAGTCATTTGATAGCACCCTGTAGATTCCCAACACTATTTTTCAGTTTTCTAAGTTCTTTTTCTTGTGTTTGGTCTGACTGTATAATTTCTGGTGTTTTGTATTATAAGTCAGATATTCTTTCTTCTGTTTTACCTATTCTGTTGTTAAGGGTTTTCACTGTATTTTTTGTTTGTTCTGTTGAATTGTTTTCATTTTGATTTCTCTTTATGATCTCAATTTTGTGGGAGAAATTTTCTTTCATGTCCTGTATGGATTTCAGTAGTTTGTGCATTTGCTTCTGATTATTTCTGAGTATTCTCATGATCAATTTTTTTAAAGAATTATTTTATTTATTTGAAAGACAGAGTTACAGAGAGGTAGAGACAGAGAGAGAGGGAGAGGTCTTCCATTCCACTGGTTCACTGCCCAAATGACTGCAATGGCCAGAGCTAGGATGGTCTGAAGCCAGGAGCCAGGAGCTTCTTCCAGGTCTCCCACACAGGTGCAGGGGCCCAAGGACTTGGGCCATCTTTTACTGCTTTCCAAGGCCATAGCAGAGAGCTGGATGGGAAGAGGAACAGCCGGGACACAAACTGGAGCCCATTTGGGATGTCGGCGCTGCAGGCTGGGGCTTTAATCGACTACATCACAGTGCCAGCCCCGATCAATTTTTTTAATTCCATTTCTGGCATTTCTCAACCTCATCATCTTCACAATCTAATATTGAAGTGTTGTGTTCTTTTGTGGTGTCATGTTGTTTTCCTTATTCTCGTTTCTTGAATTGCTGTGTTTGTTAGCATTTGTGGAGATACTCTTTGGTTTCTTCTCTTTGGTGTCTTTTTTTTTTTTTTTTTTTTTTTTTTTTTTTTTTTTTTTTGCTGTAGTGGCTTTTATCTTTGGTTTATATCTGAGTGGATTAGTGAAGTGTCTGCTTTCAGGGGATATCTAGAGGTGTGTTTTGGATGAGGCCAGGGAACTCTTTTTTGTACTCCAAGGTGAAGGGCATGTCTGCAGTGACACACCCAGATTTGGAGTGGTAAATTTTCTTTTTTATTTTATTTTATTTTTTTTATCAGAAGGGAGGTTTCTGCTTGTCTGTTGGCATAGACACAGCTGAGCTCTTCTCCTTGAAGGAGACCAGTGTTTCGGCACTAGCCCCAGTGAATGTATTATCTGTCCACTCTGCCACAAGGACCACACAAAGGATCTGTAGAGTTCTTGATATAAGCTCAGATTCTCCAGCAATGTCCCTTGGCAGGTAACTAGGGAGCCCTGATCATGTGGAGCCTCCCACCGTGACTGCCCAGTGTCTCAGCCACACCCTGAGTCCTCCCACACAGCCTCAGTGTTTTCACAGTCTTGGCACACAAGCCTCCCACAGTCATGAGCATCCTGTCTCCTGTCTGTTCTCCCCACCAGACTCAAGAGACTCTGCTTTGCTGGGTGCCGGGTGCAGCTTTGTCACCTTGTTGCAGGACACCCTTGCAGGGTGATTGGGGAGAGAGAAATGCACCCCCTCTTTGTTTTTTCTGCTCTACTTTGGCAGCTGCACTATCCCCCTTGGGGCTCCAAGCTGGATTCCTCGAGGCTCTTTCTGCAGCTATTTTGCCAGTGCCTTGGGCTGCTGCTGGCTGGTCTCACGTCACTCTCCCAACACTTGTTTGGAGGATGTTGGCTACTGGGGTCCTAAGTTGTGCATATCTTCGCACTCCATGTAGATCCACTGCGTTCCTCCAATTTTATAGTTTCCTCTGCTGTTTTCTCCCTAACTCTTCTCTGAGACTGCACTCTTTCTACTTTTTTCAAACATTTTGAAGGCAGTTTTATTGATAGACAAATTATCTCACAGCAAAGGCCCTTGCTTCTACATTAGAATTAAAATCCTGTTTCAGAATTGAAGAAGTGGCATTCCAGTCTTTGTTTCACCACAGGCTATTCAGAGAGAAAGCAGCTCTGCCTCAGAAATTCTCAACTCTGCACACAGAATCACTTGGGGTGTACTTTAAACAGCATTGCTCAGGTACCTTCATCCCATCGTTTTTTTGGTTTAATGGTGGTGGAGGGGACTTTTAGTTCTATAACCTGCCCAGGTAAGTCTTATATGCAGCTTGGCTTCAAAACCCATGGAAGGTTGGGCCACTTTTTTCAGCAGAGGAAAACACAAAGATGGAAGCCAAAAATGCGTGACATTGAGCAAGAGTTCAGAGAAGAGTGAGGCAATGAAAAAGGAAAGGCTAGTTTGATTTGAAATTTCCAATAATTATTGAAAATAATTGATATTTCATGGTCCTACTCTGACAGTAACTTGACATAGAAAGATCCTGACTTTGATGTTAACCAATTGACCAGGTCTCCAAGGCTAGGGCTACCCCAATATTTCAATCCAAAGCCTCAGAAGTCAGCATGATAGGATTTCTGCTTTTACTGTGCTACTTTGCATATTGGAACACATAAAGAAGAAGTGAGGTCAGTTTCAAGTCTGAGCTGAAATTCAGAAGTATAAGAAAAAAACTAACTTTAAAATTTCCATCCTTTCCTTTCTCCAATTTATGACTTGTTCTTCACTCTTGTTTCCCAATTCCTACCACCATCCCAAAACTGGAACCTTTACTTCTGGTCAGTCTTTTTCCCTTTCTTCCTTTCTTTCCTTCCTTCCTTCCACCCTTCCTTCCTTCAGCCCCTTTAGCCTTATCCTCATTAAGAAGACACCACTGCTTTTTATTTATTTTTAATTTTTTAAAAGAGATTTATTTATTTACTTGAAAGAATTACACACAGAGAGAAGGAGAGGCATAGAGAGAGAGACGTCTCCCATGAACTGGTTCACTCCCCAATTGGCTGCGATGGCCAGAGCTGCACTGATCTGAAGCCAGGAGCCAGGAGCCTCCTCTAAGTCTCCCACATGGGTACAGGGGCCCAAGGATTTGGGCCATCTTCTACTGCTATCCCAGGCCATAGCAGAGAGTTGGATCGGAAGTGGAGCAGTCAGGGCTTGAACTGGCACCCACCTGGGATTCCGGCACTGTAGGTGGCAGCCTCACCCACTATGCCACAGCTCTGGCTCTCTTTTTATTTATTTATTTTATTATTATTATTTTTTGACAGGCAGAGTTAGACAGTGAGAGAGAGATAGAGACAGAGAGAAAGGTCTTCCTTCCGTTGGTTCACCCCCCAAATGGCTGCGCTGATCCGAAGCCAGGAGCCAGGTGATTCCTCCTGGTCTCCCATGCGGGTGCAGGGCCCAAGGACCTGGGCCATCCTCCACTGCCTTCCCGGGCCACAGCAGAGAGCTGGACTGGAAGAGGAGCAACCGGGACAGAACCGGCACCCCAACTGGGACTAGAACCTGGAGTACCTGCACCGCAGGCGGAGGATTAACCTAGTGAGCCACGATGCCGGCCCCTCTTTTTATTTTTAATTCATCTCTTTCCTGAGGATTATTCTACTGTCTCTTCCTACTGTGAGGAGTCAGGTGGGTTAATAGGCAGTCAGAGTGGTCCCAGTGGAATTTGGGGTATAGAATTCTTGCTTCTCCCCGAAAGGTTATCTATAGCAAAAACAAAATATTCTCCTTCCTTTGCTATCTACAAATTTAGCATGAGAATAGCAAAGGAGTGAAGGTTGCACTTGAACTCACAGTTTATTGTGAAAACAAATTACCTATCCCACTCTTCTGTATGGTTTTTTATTTTATCATGAACAAGTCAGATAAGATAAAGGATTGTAAATCAGGACTTTTGATGGGTTTTGTCTCCGTCCGGTAACTAAATGCCAATCTGATTGCCAAGTCTTTTTCCTTCAAAATTGTACTTAAAAACCCCATTGCCAAGGGGTCCTTTGGGTTTTCCTCTCTTGGAGCCCCCTTCCATACCACTCTGGCTGAAGGTCTTTGACTCTAATAAATCTTGCTTTTAAACCTTCAAATATCGCTTTTGCCTTGTCCACTTGGAAATTCTTTCATGTGAGGCAAAGAACCGAGGTAATAATAATTTTTCTGCTGCCATTTTCCTGTAACACTACTTCTAGACTTTCAGTATCTATGGGCAATTGGTTGTAGGACTTCTGTCAATAATGAAATCAGAGAGTGCTCAGATCTCTTACATAAAATGGTGCATTATTTGCATGTAGTCTATAGGATCTTCCCATCTACTTTAAAACACCTCTAGATTCTGTATAATATCTATACAATGTAAATATGATGTAAATGGTTATTATAAAAATAGATTGTTTAGGAAAAATGACAAAAAAATTCTGTATATTTTTAGTACAGATGCAATCTTTTTCCTGATATTTTCTGAAAGTGGTTACTTCTGTGAAGGTGGAACACATGGATATGAGGTGGGGGGATTAAACTTCTCCCTGTTTCAGGTCAGTGGCCCATTTTTCTTAAATAATTCAGAACAATAAGTTGAAGAGAGTTGGTATTTTTTTTCCACAACCAGGGAGTTTAGGTAGCTGTAGAATTAGGGACTTCAAAACAAAGCAAGTTTGCAAGATCAAATCCTACCTCTTTCTCATGAATAGTAATGAATTCCATGTTGTTCTAGAGTTTTCAATGAAATAACGAACCTCATGTAGCTGCCCCACCTTGGCATACCTCTGCTGTCAGAGTCGTCTCTTCCATCTTCTTTAATGGAAGCATCCTTGTTCTCACGGACATTATTATTTACTACCTGAGATTTGGAACAAATGGGATGTATATTCCTATCCTCCCAAAGAAAGGACGATCTGAAGCTTTTGTTTGCTTCACAAAATTACTCACGAACATTCTACAAAACTGTATTCTACATCTATAGCACGTATCATACACAAATATTAATTTGGAAATTGAAATTTTTGCAGATGGATTTTAGGGCTGCATTTATGTTGCTGGAAACTGTAGTACACTGAAGATATTAGCATTTGTTACAAGAAAGCTCTATTTACCCTTTTCCTCTTTTAAACAGACTATTTTTGGAGAAATTCTAGGTTCACAGCAAATGTGAGTGGAACATACAGTGAGTTCCATCTATTTTGTAAAAGAGATTTTTATTTATTTGAAAGGCAGAGCCACAGAGAGGCAGAGGCAGAGAGAGGGGAGAGGTCTTCCATTGGCTGGCTCACTTCCTAGATGGCCAAAACGGCTGGAGCTGTGCTGATCTGAAGCCAGGAGCCAGAAGCTTCACCTGGGGCCTCCCATGTGAGTGCAGGGGCCCAAGGACTTGGGCCATCCTCCATTGCCCTCCCAGGCCATAGCGGAGAGCTGGACAGGAAGCAGAGCAGCTGGGACTCAAACCTGCACCCACAAGGGACACAGGGCTGCAGGGAGCAGCTCCACCTGCCACGCCACAGCGCTGGCCCCGTGAGTTCCATCTATTCTTGCCGCCACAAGGTCACAGCCTTTCCCACTGCCCCACTGCAGAACATTCCCTCCAGAGTGGTACTTTGTTCAGGGACACAAAAAATCCGTTTGCTTAAGGTGTTGTTGAATAATAAGCCTCAAACTGGAGCGGCTCAAAGAAAAGGTTTGTTTACTGTGACAAAGGAGGCAGTGGGAAGGAAGAGTTCCTGAAGATGCCTCCCTGAGAAGCAGTTTGCCAGGGCATTTAGAGTGAATCTTAAGGAATTGCCCAATATGCACAAAGGGGGATACATGGAGGGGGTCCTTTCTGCTTGTGCTGTACATGCAAGATGTAGAAAAGGGGGAACAGGCGAGCCCTTCCTGCTCACGGAAATACGTCTTCATCCATCTGATTCTGATTGATCTCTTGCAGCTTCCCTTGTCCTGGTGCTGTAGCTGCAGCTGTACAATATTGCAAGATAAGCTTTCCAGAAGATCCTCTGAAAAAGAAGCTCAAACCAGTGAACTTTTTCAAATTCTCTGCCCCTCTTCCTGGGCCTCTCTCTTGCCTACATCCTAGAGTGTTTGTTATACAATCAACTGGCCTACGCTGACACATCATTATCACCCAAAGTCCATAGTTTCTGTTAGCATGCACTGGTGGTGTTGTAGTTTCTATGGGTATGGACACACGTTTAAGAACAGGTATCCACCACTGTAGTATCCTTCACAATAGTTCCATTGTCCTAAAAATCCTTTGTGCTCTGCCTATTCATCCCTGCCTCCCCATAACCCTGACAAGTTGTCATCTTTTGATTGTCTCCATGGTTTTGCCTTTTCCAGAGTATCACACAGTTGGAACCATGCAATCTGTAGCCTTATTAGATTGGTTCCTCTCACCTCATGATATGCACTTAAATTTCCTCCATGTCTTTCATATTGTCTAAATGTGCCCCAGTTCATCCATTAAGCTATAAAGGACATCCTCTTCACTTTCAAGTTGGGATGATTATGAATAAAGCTTCCTTAAAGATCCATGTACAAGTTTCTGTTTGAACATAAGTTTTTAAATCATTTGAGTGGAGACTAAGGAGTACTATCACTAGATCATGAAAGTTCCATTTTTTTCTTGTTTCAAAATTCATTGCCACTGACATTTACAACATAGGAGATTAAATCCACTTTAGATTCATAATATAACTTTCAATCAACAGACCTGACACTTAAGTGGGATGTCGTATGCAATAATTGGCTATTATAAATGATATAAATGTCACAATTCCAGGCATTTTAGCATATTAAATAGTGTACCTCATGCTATGGAGGGTTTCCAATGAACACATTTATTATTCTGTTCTTCATGTATCATGATTTCCAATGTGATAACTCAAACTGCATCCTTGTACCAGTGCTATGTCTACCTGAATCTCAGTTTAAATGGAAGTGATGAGATCTTATCACTGAACGGGAAAGGCTAGTCTAACAATGTTATTCAGGGAAAGGGAAGTAGTGAGGATATGAGATCTTGCTTGCTTGTGGGCACAATGAACGTAAGTTAATGAGCTTACCTTAATGCAGAGTTGTATGGGTGGAGAAGAGATTCTTCCTAAAGCATGAGTCCTCTCGCTCAGATTTATCTTGGAACCTGCATATCTATGGCAATAGACAGTCAGGCAATGGAGAGCAGGGATTTTACACTAAAGCTGACCTTAGTTTATTTTATTTTTTTCTAACAATTTATAGATAATTGTAGGATGAACAACTTTATTTCAGGACATCAAGACCATAGTGTAACTAAAAGAGAAAGACCAACCTATCCACAGAGAACCCCACTGATTTCGCAAAACAAATTACAGGTGTATAGTAGAGCCTGTCAGAGCTTTGTGGGATGCATGGTATCCGTGTTACTGCCTATTGGATGTGAAGTAGGAACCTGAAGCGTATACCAAGATGTTACCTGGTAGAGAGGCAGTGGGTCTCTGCAGAGCCGACTTGACCAAAACCACATGTGCAGCAATGTTTGGAAATTCTCCATCACTAGTAATGATGACATTCCTGGCACCTCTCCAGGACTATGGATGGATGAGCTGAGTTTTTGGATGGACTCATGAAGCTGGCCCTGGCCATCTCCCTCTAGGTCATTCAACAAGAAAGAAAGAAAGTTCTCTCTGGCTCATGTGATTCTGAATGTCTGCTAAGTGAAGCAGGTTGTGTCTGATGAGAATATAAGCCTCTCCCTCTGTAAGCCATCCCCACACCACTCCTGTGTTACCCTCGACTCCCCCGCGGATCTTCTGCAAAGACTATATTTCAGGTTTATTTTTTATTTTTTTTTATCCTAAAACCACCTCCCCCTCATCATTTTCTGTGAAGGCACATATGAGTCCTGATAACTTCACTGAGCCTCTGCCTAGGACTTTCCTCAAGAAATTGAAATATTATAAGCAGTAAAAATTGACACTTTCTTTTTCAAAATGTTTTTAAGCTAGTGTAAAATTTATTTATTTATTCATTCATTTATTTATTTATGGTCTGAAAGGCAGAAAGAGAGGTAGACAAAGAGATAGACAAAAATCATCCATTCCCTGTTTCACTCCCCAGATGCCTGCAATAGCCAGAGCTGGACCAGGACTAAATCAGATGGGACTTAGATGTCTGATGGTTGTACCTGCTCTGTTTCAGAATGCACCATATGAGCCATTATTGTGTGTCATATAAGAGACCAGAACAGGGGTCAGCACTGTGGCATAGTGGGTGAAGCTGCTGCCTGCATCTCCAATACCCGATATGGGTACTGATTTATGTCCTGGCTGCTCTACTTCCATTCCAACTCTCTGCTAATGTGCCTGAGAGTGTGGCAGAGGATTCCCCAAGAGCTTGGACCCCTGCACTCATGTGGGAGCCCTGGAAGAAGCTCCTGGCTCCTGGCTTCAGATAGGCCCAGGTCCAGCCATTGAGGCCAGCTGGGGAGTGAACCAGCTGACGGAAGATCTCTGTCTCTCTCCCTGTCTCCCTATGCCCACCCTCCCCACTCTTGTTCTCGCTCTGCCTCTCAAATAAATATTTTTTTAAAAGATAACTAGAACAGTGTCTAACATATCACAAGTGTTTAATGTCATTGAATGAGTGCTGAATGACTCTATTATGTGAGCAATATGATTAAATAGGTAAATCCCCACTTATTAAACTACTTATGCCTTATAGTCCCTACAAAATGATGCACATATGACTGAAAATACTTCAGCTAGGAAAAAAAAATTAAAGCAGTTAAGCAGAAAAGATTGGAAGGAGAAAATGAAGAGAAAGACAGAACTGATTGCTCTCATTTTGTATTCTTTGAATAAAATTTTCTTTATTCAGCAATAGAATTAATTTGACCCCTGTTGAAGGTGAGAAGAGTGGCAATTAGGCATTGAGAATATTTCTTTTCTCCAAAAATGAAAAGACACACAAGTTCTGGCAATTTTTAGCAGCCACTTCAGATGCAATAGAAAGGGTTTCTGAAGCAGCACAGGTGAGCATGACAGGTTTCAGGTGGGTGGTGTATATTTTCATTCCTTGCAGTGAGTGCAAACAGGAGGAGAGCACCGGCTTCAACTTGTAAGACTTATTGAACCTAAATCAAGAATTGCTACGGTTCAAAGGAATGGATTCATTTTCTTCTCACTGAATTTTTCTGAAACATTGCTATTTATTTTCAGTTCCTCAGCTTCTTCCAGATTGCATCATTCAGAATACCCTCTAATTGATTAACATAAAATGAGGGTTCTTCGAAATGTTTGTGGAAAATGAAATTTAAAAGTAAGCTTATTTGGTGTAAAAAAATGAAATTCATGTGCATGAGGATTCTATACAAAGTTCATGAAAATGTATGAAAAAGTTGAGCATGGATTTTAATACTTATGGATTTTATATATATCTTTTAATTCCAATTTTCTAAACTTTTTGAAGTACCCTTATATAGTTAGTATAATGAACAGCCATTCATTCTGGACTTTTCAATAGGAGCAAGCCTGTACCTATTTAATTCACATTCACCCCTGATCACTGGAAAAGAGGGTGAAGGTCATCATAATGATCTCACACAGTGCCATGCTCATTGCTAAATGAATAACCTGTTTTTAAACTGAGTGTGCAGCAGATCAGTTGTGTAGTGCTAAATGCTTAACAACTGGCTCTGAGTTGTTTAACAGCTGGCTTTGAGGACAGGGAACCCTGATTTGTAGCATTTGTTGATTTCTGTGTTATACACAGAGCCATTATGGCATTCCTTTTTTTAAAAAATATTTATTTTGAAAGTGAGAATTGCAAAGAGGGAGAAAAGAGAGATAGGGAGAGAGAGAGAGAGAGAGAGAGAATAGATCTTTCATACACTGGTTTATTCCCCAGATGGCTGCAATGACCATCCCTTGGCCAGACTGAAGCCAAGATCCAGGAGCTTCATTTAGGTCTCCCATGTGACTGCAGGGGCCTAAACACTTGAGCCATCTTCCACTGCTTTTCCTAGGCAATTAGCAGGGAGCTGGACAGAGAAGTGGAGCAGCTGGGACATGAACCAACACCCATATGAGATGCTGGCATCACTGGTGGTAGATTGATCCACTATGCCACAACGCATGCCCCACATTTTAACTTGAAAATATGTATTTAAGAATCAGAGAGACAAAGAGCCTGAACTCCCCTGTACTAGTTCACTCACCAACGCTTGCAATCTCTAGGGCTGGGCCATGGCTGAAGTCAGGGGCTGAGAACTGAATCCAGATCTCCCACATATGTGAATTCCTTAAGCCAGCACTGCTCTCTTGCAGTGTCTGCATCAGTGGGAAGCTGGAGTTAGGAGCCAGAGCTAGGAATGGAATGAATATATTCCAATGTGGGATTCAAGAAACTTACTTACTAGGCCATGAGGCTGAGAGACTGGGTAAGATAGCTACAACACACTTCAGTGGGTGCAATTAACAACTTCTCATGTCCCTCCTGAAAGCCATTCTTCCTAGTCTTCTAAAACCAAATGTCAAAGTTTCTCTTTAAGACTGTAAACTTAGTAAAGTCTTGTGTCTGGTTTTCCTGTGTACAGAATTCTCACAGCGATTAATATATAAAGGCACTTCCGCCCATGTGGGAGACCTGACTCCTGACTCGTCTGGGCTCAGCCTCAGCTGTTGTAGGCATTTGGGGAGTGAACCAGTGGATGGGACATTTTATTTCTGTCTCTCTGTGTCTGTCTTTTTCTGCCTCTCAAATTGAAAAATATTCAGAAAAAAAATTGTACCTGTACCAAACATGTGCAGACTTTTTTCCTTGCTATTATTCCTAAAACAATACAGTATCACAATTACATACATAGCATTTACATTGTAACAGCCATTATAAATAGTCTGCAGATGATTTAAATTATATGGAGGATGAGGATATGTTATAATCAAATATTATACCATTTTATAGTAGGGCCTTGAGAATGCAGATTTTGATATTTGAGGCTGGAAGAGGAAGGTTCCTGCAACTAGTCCCCTTAAGGTACAGAGGGACTATTGCACTTCTTTCTCCCTAATGCCTCTTCTTGGCCTCTGTTACATTAACATTTCTAAAAACTAGCTTGTCTCTTGTAAGATCTCTTATATTGTGACATCATTTATCTGCATCCTTGTTGGTTTTATCTGTAATTTTTTCCTAGAAAGGCACCGGAATTCCCTAATGAGTTAAGTACTCGGTTTACAAGTGGTTTTCTCTCCCCTTTCCCTTGTCATTCTTCCCAAGCATTTTCAATGGCTACTTGTATAAGTGCATTTATGACTTCTCATCCTCACGTATCACTTATTCTAGCCAAAATGAATTTTTTATCAAATGCATTTTATTCCCCTCCATCACAGTAGCTACAGTGTTTAGTCTCCATTGGGTGTCTACCCTAGTCCATTTTCTACTTGCAGAGGCTGTCCATAGTGATTGCGTCTATGGACTCCCTGCCACCCTTGTTTCTGGTTGGAATCAGCTGACGAAAGGCTAAGTTGGAGGTTGGAGCATGGGCATAAGGAGGCCTGCATTTTTCCTGCTGTCCCCGACTGTGTCAGCATCATGGCTCTTGAAGTGGCTGCATCACTCCTGGATTACAACTCCATCAGGCAGCTCTTTCTCCATGGCTCCAGTCTTCACCAGCTCCGAGCATGCTCCTTCCTGGGTGTGACTTCTCACGGTCCCTTGTGCATGACCTCCACAAATAGGGCCTTCACTGAAATCTCCACAGCTCCGCCAGATGGTGCCTTAGGTTCCTACAAGGGACCCACTGCTCTAGGGATGTGACTCATCTCATGGGGAATTGCCCCCACAGCAGTCTTTCCCTAAGAAAATTCTGTCTGTTTTCAAGCCCCAGACAAAATGTTACCTACTATATAAATTAATACATCTGATATCTCCCAGTTGGAAGTAATATCTCCCTTCAGAATTCCCAAGGCATCTACTACAACTCTTTTAATAGATATACATAATTCACCAAAAAAAAAAAATACAACACATAACATATCTTTATCAGATAAGGGTGGTACTTAAGTTTGCTTCCTAAAGAACTAGTGTAGTGTCCTTCAGTAAGTTCTTTGCAGGGATCGGTTGAAAGAACAGACAAGTTGTTATCATTATCATCTTCATCTCTACCACTTACACTTTTTCTAGCTCATCTTAACTATTACTGAGCACTCCTTTAAGTGACTTTATGAGGCATCTTCTCTTTTCTCCCCTTCCCTTCCCACTTTCCTTCTCTGTCTCTCTCTTTCTCTCCCTCCTGCTTCCCTCCCTATCTACCTATCACCATTTCTCAAATAGCATTCCACTTTGTCTTAGCTGAGGCTGTTATAACAAAATACCATACACTTGGGTAGCTTTGCCAAGAGATAGTCCCCCCCCCCCCCAGGGAGAGTTAGACAGTGAGAAAGAGAGACAGAGAGAAAGGTCTTCCTTTTTCCATTGGTTCCCCCCAAGTGGCCGCTATGGCTGGCGCGTTGCGGCCGGCGCGCTGCGCCGATCTGAAGCCAGGATCCAGATGCTTCCTCCTGGTCTCCCATTCGGGTGCAGGGCCCAAGCACCTAGGCCATCCTCCACTGCCTTCCCTGGCCACAGCAGAGAACTGGACTGGAAGAGGAGCAACCAGGACAGAACCGACGCCCTGATTGGGACTAGAACCCGGAGTGCCGGCGCCGCAGGCAGAGGATCAACCTAGTGAGCCATGGCGCTGGCCGAGATAGTTCTTTCTTTCACTCGATGGCAGTGGCTTCAGTTCTTGGTGAAGGCCCTCTTTATAGTTTGCAGATGTCTGATTGTCTCCTTGCTGTGACCTCATATGGTGGGGATAGGAAAGAGAGAGAGAAAGAGAACAAGTGAGCAAGAGCAAGACTGAGTACTTACAAGTGAAGTGAATATTTTTTAGTGTTTTCTTCTAAGGACTCTAATCCCATCATGAGGTTCCCATATTCATGATCCCATCTAAACCTAATTTCTTCTCACATGTCCCATCCCCAGATACCATCACAGGGAGGGATTAGGACATCAACATTGTTTTTAGGGGAACAAAATCCTGTCCTTAGTGCACTTCTGTAGCTCAACAACCACTTTGAAAAAGTTAAGTCCTGTATTTTTTACATTTTTCTTCTGTACTGCTAAACTTGCATTTCTCATTGCTATCTTTTCATCACCATTTGTAAGTCTCACAACCTTCACCTTCCAATATCCCATGTTGGTATAATGATCCTATTTCTCAAAATAGCTTTTTAGCTTGGTTTTCACACTTCTTCTAAAAGTCATCCATATTCTCCTAATAACCTGAGTTCAGAAGTTTAGCGTCACCCTGGGATGTAATATCTCCTGCTTCTTGGCCTACATAGCCAAATTTTTTTGCATATAATTTTTTTCTGTAAGTGCTCCAATAACCATAATTTATTCCTCTACTTTTTTTTTGTCAAAATTATGACTACATAGTAAAAAGTCTCTATTTCCCCATGTTTTCCTCATTTCAATATATAGCATGCTATTTGATAGCTAGAATAAATATCAGGAGCCAAGTTTACCACTCTTATTTTTACAGAGTTCAAAGGAACCAAAAGAGGTCAGATGGCTCATGTAGCCCTACACACCTGGATAGTGTGACTAAAACGGAAGGAGGGTCCATCCTTATATTGTCCTGTGTGTGGCATTTTACCCAGAATCCCAAGATTCAACCAGTAGCCTTTTTCCAGAACAGTGTTCATCTTCACTAACCAGTTCATATCATGTTCTTTCATATCAATTATGCATGACTCTCTATTGCCCTTTGCTTATAAAGGTAAGTAACTCTGGAACTCAGTTACCCACACTACACTTCCACGCCTCCTTCAGCGTCTTTACTTACTGCCTCCATGTGTGTAAAACTGTGTGTGTGTGTGTTATTTAGCTAGCTCGTTCCAGCTTCGTTCTGCGGTTTCTATCTCCATATCTCACGCTGATCCCTTTACTTTACATGTATCTGCTTTCCCTATCTATCCCTGGGTCGTTTCAATTCCATGTTCTCCAATATACCTTTGATTATTACCTTAACTAGATGTACCGTCTCTTTGCTTTAACCTATGGTTACCTTTTGTCTGTGACTTGTTCCTGAAAGTATTTAGTGCTGACTGTAGAATAGCCTTAGTGTATTTGCCTTTTCCTGTCCCTGCTTACTTAGACCCAGAACTTTGTACAAAGTGGACACTCAGTCAATGTTGATGAATTTTACTATTTGATCATTCAAGTCGCTGAACTCAAGTGCTTCACATATATGCTTATTTATCTTAATGTGTTAGTAGTTTTATTGGGATCTCTTAAGATAAATATCTTGCAACTATAGTTGAAATGACTTTGAATGTGATGGAGGACAATGCCACAAAGCCGTGATACAGAATGTTTCTCCTCCAATAGATAAAAGCAAAACAAACAAAAATGTCTGAGAAACAATTTTTCAGCAGCATGAAGAGTTGAGGAATGATTCTAAACTTCAAAAAGTGGTAACAAGTGAAGTAATACAAGTCTGTGTCACAGCCCGGTTGACAGAAACCGTGCATGGCTGCCATCTTGAGAAGTGGCGCTGATGCTTTAAGAAGCATGCACAAATCCTGAGAATCCTTCTCAAGACTATAGCCTCAGGGGCCAGCACTGGGGCGCAGCAGGTTAAAGCCCTGGCCTGAAGTGCAGGCATCCCATATGAGCGCCGGTTCTAGTCCTAGCTGCTCCTCTTCCGATCCAGCTCTCTGCTGTGGCCCGGGAAGGCGGTGGAGGATGGCCCAAGTCCTTGGGCCCCTGCACCTGTATGGAAGACCTGGAAGAAGCTCCTGGCTCCTGGCTTCAGATCAGCATAGCTCTGGCTGTTTTGGCCATCTGGGGGAGTGAACCAGCAGATTGAAGACCTCTCTCTCTGTCTCTATCTTTCTCTGTAACTATTTCAAATAAATAAAATAAATCTTTAAAAAAAGTAATATAGCCTCTTCTCCTTGGGAAATATGCTCCAAGACCCCAAGTGAGTGCCTGAAGCCCTAAAGTGCCAAACCCATATATACTATGTTTGCTTCTTATAGGTATAAACATACCTGTAATAAAGTTTATGAGTTAGGCATGGTAAGAGATTAACAATAATAACTGTGAGACATACAGGCTCAAAGCTTTCTGACCCAACATGTCACTATCAATCAGACACAGACTTAATGCCTTTACACCTTAACTAAATATTTACCAATCATGAACAGTGGCTGTAACTTTTGTAGTTTGAGCTGTGACAACAAAACTAGTACGAATTTCTTTTCCGTTCTTCACAGTTTTATAGATGGAAGAGTCATTCTTCCACAGAACTTAGCAAGCTCAGGCTATGATTAATTTTCTTTCTTATTAAGTTGAGAGCTTTAACCTTTTCACTTAAAGTAAGTAATTTATGAATTCTCATTGACATATCCAATTGCCAGCACTGTTAGTCTTGCACTTTGGAGATATTATGTAGAATAAGGGCTACTTGAACTGAAGCACTGTGCCAGCCTGACAGTCAGGCAGATAACTGAGTAGAGTGGGAAGCCCATTCCGTGTGGACACACTAGACAAAGAAAGGATTCACATCTGGGCAAGGTGGTGTGGGATTTCATCATCAAAGTACTCAAAATGGCAATGTAAAACTTATGCATTGTCTATGTCTGCAATGCTCTGTTTAATTAACTCAAACTTCAGGAAGGGAAACCACAGATAAGTGCTGGTGGTGGGTGGCTACTATACTCTCTAACTGAAAGAGAAGTAGGCTGAAGGAATGAATAGATGTGCCTGGGAAAATCAAGATAGCACACTGGCTAGATGCTCCACAAACCACATCTGGAGCTTGGCAAGAGCAGGAAGGGTCCCTGAGTCTCTTGTTCCGTCAGTGCTAAATTGGGGACGGAGCCAAATCTCAGGAGAGCTGAATCCATGCCAAAGAGCTTGTAATGGAGTCCAAGAAAGGACATCTGCTGGGATCCCCACAAGGTCTGCAATCAGCTGCAACTGCTCTTCCCTCCCTGACCCTGCTTTCCATGTATCTGGTTCACAGGAGAAGACAAAGGATCGCAAACATCATGGGCTGGGGATGCTGTCAAGGAGAAACCACTTCACTATTTTAGAATGAAACGAACACTGAACAAAGATAGAGGAGAAAAAATATTTGACAGCTACAAAAATATATCACAGCCTTCCACCAAGAAGTCAAAAATAAGTGGAGAAAGACATTGATTTAAAAAAATAACATAGATAATTCAACTTGAAAGAATTCAACCCAAGGAACAAAGCGGATTCCCTGCCAGTATTTTGCATTCACTGAATGCAAATAAGGGCAAGTGTTCAGGAAAACAAGGAAAACATGATATAACAAAAGATCAGAATGAGAAGAAAGGGAATATTGTAAGAAAAAACTAAGATGCAAAACAAACAGTGGTATAAATAAAATAAGTGAGAAGCAGCAAGAAACAAATCATGATGATGATGATGCTTCAGCTGCAGTGACTAAAAATAGACAAGTTTAAAATAATTAGAAGTACAATAGATTGTTTGTTATAGTTCATCTACCATAACATAATGTATAAACCTAATGTAAAGAGCCAACAAATAGGGTGTACTATTTGTTGAACTCTTTACTTAGTGTAGGGTTAATCTTATGTGTATAAAATTAATTAAAAATAGATCTTAGTAAAAAAAATATGAGAGGGAGGAAGAACGGTGGGAATGCAGGGGAGAGAGAGGGTAGGGTAGGAAGAATCACTATGTTCCTAAATTTGTATATAAGAAAAGCATAAAGTTTGTATACCTTACATAAACAGTTTCTAGGTAATAAATAAATAAATAAATAAATATTCCTAAAAATAGTTCAGGAAATAATGAAAAACATAACAGGAATATTTACCTACAATAAAAACTGAATCTACCAGTTGATAGGACACAGCATTTTCCAAGAGAGGTTGACACAAAGCCAGTGATATAAGATCATGTTTATTTACAGAGAAACCTTTCCACACATCAAACAGGGTCAGCGAAATTTAAAGCAATCAAAGTTTTTTGAAAAACTTGGTTGAGGGTTGGTATTGTGGTACAGAGGTTAAGTAGCCACTTGAGATGCCTAAACCTCATATTAGAGTTTTGGGGTTCAAGTCCCACTTCTGCTTTTGACTGAGCTTTCTGGTAATGTGCACTCTGTGAAGGAGCTCAAGTACTTGGTTCCTGCCACTCACATGAAAGAGCTGGATGAAATTCCTAGCTCCCTCCTGATTTTGGCCTGCGCATCCATGGCTGTTGTGGGTATTTGGGAAGTGAACCAGCAGATGGAAGTTCACTTTCTGTCTGTTTCATTCTCCCTCTCTCTCACTATGGCAAAGAAAGAAAGGAAGAAAGGAAGAAAGAAAGAAAGGAAGGAAGGAAGGAGAAAGGGAAAGACATACTTGAAGAATAAATGCAAGCAATGAAGGGATGAATCATAATAAAGATTGTAGAGATTGAGAAACCATGGTAACAGGACAACGGGATGAACAATTAATTTAAATAAGATTCTAAGATTAAAAATAAGATTATTTTCATTATGAATAGGATAGATATGCTATAAATCATCACAAGTTAAATAATAAAAGCAATAAACTCAGATGAAAAGATAGAGACTAATTATCTAAAACAAGATTAATATAATTTTATAATAACTGCATTTATTGATGGTTTAAGTGTTTTTGTTAGTGGAGATTAGTGGAACAGGTTCTTGTCTTCACACAAGAAAGAATTCAGATGTGAGACAGAGAGCAGTGGTAAGCAAGATAGCAATGCTTAATGGGGTAGGGCATCTGTCAGAATGGACAGGCATGTCTTTAGACAGAATCTGAGAGAGTGCCCAGTCAATCATACTGGGAAAGCAAGGTAACATGTTTTGATGGAGAGTATACACCTCACAGGCCAGGTGAGTGTCTCAGGAAAGGGCAGAGGGCTGAGTGCAGCGTTTGTTTAGAGATTGCGGGTAGAAAGAGAAAGGTGTCCAGTTCTTCCCGCATTTCTCCTCCTTCTTCTCCAGGACAAAGGGTTTGCTGCATGCGAATTAGGTGAAATTCCTCCCAAAGTTTCACTACTGTCAGGCTGGGGAGCCCACCCAGTGCTTCACAGAGGTGCTTCCCCAGGGTGCCTTCCCTTGGGGAAAGGCTGTGAAGGTTTTATTGCCCAACGTCACCAGGCTAGAATCAATTCGGGGCTGAGCGGAGAGGATTCTCCTGAGGAGCTTCCCTCCAGGGGAAGGCTGAGACCACCGGTAAAGTTACTGGATTATGGGTAGGACTTCCTCGTATAAAATACTAAGCTGCTTCCAAGATGTGCTTATGAAGAAACTTCTGTTTTCCTCAGCGCCCTCCCCCCAACATAGGTTAATTCCTAACTTCCCACCTAACATTTTATTAAATCTAGAAGATTTTAGTATCTATCAATCCATATAATGAAAAAAATCTGAAGTTCCACAATTCTTTCATTCACCTTGGTTGCTTTTTCTTTTGTGAGATTCATGTCAAATTAAATTTACTAGATGCTGGAATGGAACCAAATCCTCATCTTTCCCCATATATAAAAATCCTTTTCTCCATAAACTTTTTGACAAACCCTCATATAAGGTGGTGTGGTATTCCTATATAAACCACACAGTCCTCCTATAGATTTTAAATCATCTTTAGATTACTTATAATAGCTCATACAATGTAAGTGATTTGTTAACAGTTGTTACACTGTATTGTTTAGGGAATCAGGACAAGAAAAAGATCTGTACATATCAGTATAGTTGTGGAACCCACAGGCACAGAGAGCTAACTATATGTTGTAGTCTGAAGGTCATGTAAGGAGAATATATTCATATGTTGTATGAAAACTAAACAAAAAGAAAATTAATGAAGTTAGAAGGAGGCAAACACCATCTCATTTCACTTATCAGGTCCAATTCAATCCCCCCCATTTCATGAAGTCTTCCCCAGACGATTACATCATTTACTGTATTGTTTTATCTCTACTCTTACAACCTTCCCCCACCATATAGGCTGCTGTTTAATCATAACTTTAAATGAACCAGTTACAATTGAGAACATTTGCTGAACTGTGAAACACAATATAAACCTTAGGGTAACATGTCTTTTGGCACTGTGAGTGTAAAATCAGGGATAGCAATGCCAAAAATAGAAATATTGGTCTGAAATTAGAGAAAGCATTAACAAACCTCATTCCCTGAAATAACAGCAACATCTGAGATAAAACTGAGGTTTTATATTCCGAGTTGACATAAAGAGACTTCAAATTTATTAATTTGGTCTAGACACTGACAAAAACATTTTCATGTACAGTCATGCAACACATGACAACATTTTGGTCATCAAGGGACCACATATATGATGGAAGCCCCATGAGATTTCATCTCCTAGGGATTATTTACTCATCTTAGTGTGTGCAAATGCACCATATGGCATTTGCACAGTGACACAATTGCCTAACAGTGTTTTCTACGGAATGTGTATTCATTGTTAAGGGACTGTATGGCATTAATACTAACTGTCCTACAGGGCCAGCATTGTGGTGTGGTGGGTTGGGCCACTGCCTGCAGTGCCTGCCTCCCATATGAGCACTGGTTCGAGTCCCAGCTGCTCCACTTCCCATCAGCTCTCTGCTGTGGCCTGGGAAAGCAGTGGAAGATGGCCTGGGCCCCTGGGCCCGTGCATCCACTTGGGAGACCCAGAAAAACTCCTGGCTCCTGGCTTCGGATTGGTGCAGCTCTGGCCATTGCAAGCAATTGGGGAGTGAACTAGCAGATGGAAGACCTCTCTCTCTCTCTCTCTCATTCTTTGCCTCTCTCTCTCTCTCTCTCTCTCCCTCCCTCTTCTTCTCTCTCTGTGTAACTCTGACTTTCAAATAAAATAGATAAATCTTAAAAAAAACCTGTCCTATGAATATTATTTGTATGAGAAAGCTGAGGTTGAAGGTGCATACACAAGTGCACCAAGACCACAAAGCTAGTCAGTGATAAGGTAATGATTTCTATTTCAATCCTAATTCCAAAATTCATGTTCTTTATCCATTTACTATTCTAGCTACAAAAAACTTGGGATTTGAATATTTCCCAGGATCCTGGATTCCCATCTTATCCTGCCATGGTTATCTTCTCTTTCTGTACCCCAAAGTAAATGGATTTCTAAAAGACAAGACCAGGGAATGTGTTAGCCTCTAATCCTGATGACATATCTGGAGAACTAGTGTAGATTCTGCTGGTGATTATTCTCTTAGGAGGAGAATGTTGGCCAGAGTGGCCTTTCTTTTCCCTTCACCCTGGGACCATCTTCGCCATCTTTTGTCAAGACAGAAAAAGTGTAAACCTAGGAGAGATGAGCAGCTGTGGCAAGATAGAGATGGAGCTCAAGAGAAAGATTTTCAGTGTTTGAATTTGACAGAATAACCAGGAAGCCTGTTGAGCACAAAAATTCCAGCATCAACCTATCAAAGGGTAGTCTGTAGATAATCTGTTTGTAGGATCACAGGACTCAATTAGAATTGATTTTATTAGAAGATAAGAAGGGAAAATGTCTAGAACTAAGGATAATGAATGCAATTCCCACTGAAGATGAGGGTTCCAAAGAATTATTCATTTAATGACCTCAATGGTTCTGGCAAGCAGGAATACACACCTTTAATTTGCTTGGAACTCACAGCACCAAGAAAACATATTAAATATGTAATTAATAGTATTTTAAAATGGAAAAAATCAGTTTCTGCTCATATTTAGTCAAGAGGAAGATCCAGAAAAACATGACATCCATCTATTTACAAAATTCATGTAAGAGATAAAAATGAATCATTTACTTCTATGATTAATAATGAAAAGATTTCCAAAACATGGCTTGTTTTTTGGAAAATGACATAATAAAAACAGAAATCAGAAGGAAAATGAAACAAGAGACAGCAGTGAGGTGCCTTTTGAAAAATTAAAGAATATGGCCATAAACATCAGAAATTATGTTAAATAAAGAAGAAATGAATTAATTCATATAAACCAAAAAGGAAGTACCACTGTTTGAGAGGAGAGGCTTAAAAACAAAACCTCCAGTACGTAGAACAATGAATCCCTCACTACCCAGTGTTTGAAATAAACCACAGGAGAGTGAGGATGAAAATTGATCATAATACTTGCAGCTGAAATAACTGCTGAAGGGATAAATACTTCTATTTCTTCATTTTGCATTTCTCCTTGATATGCACTTAGTATTCAAAAACTCCTTAAAAGAAAACTCTTGTAAACACTTACCTATGGTTTCACTGAGTCACATTTGTCTCTCTCCAGAGTTCTCAGATAGTATTGAACACATCCATAGATTTGCTTCTCCACCTTTTTAATCAAGCACCTCAAAGCCTCTGGAAGTCCACATCCTACATCCTTCAGCACAGACCTGCAAAACATGCATGCATGTATACATACACACACACACACATTTCCCATTAAGTGATGACAGAATGCATTCATCTGTTATCATTTCTCTTTTGATGCTCAAAAATATATCTACATATTATTAGTAGTCCAGTGAGGACCAGTAGAAATAGTAACAGCAGCAAACATCCCCAGTACTGCTCCATCCCCAACTTGCTCCTGTGACATGTTTCTACTATTTGAATTATGAGCCCATTTGTAAGTTAGCCTTGAATAGGAGATTGTGATTTTCCCCCCTTTTTATTCCAGTGGGGTTAAAACCAGCAGGGGATCTTCATTAAAATTCTCCATAAGGCCCATTTGCTTGCCATTTCCCCTCCCCCAAGTCCCATATTCCTCTACGCTGCTGTGAACTGCACAGAGCAGAGGAATGACCCATGGAAATGTCACTGCCTTGTCGAGGCACAAAATCCAGGGAACCAGTCCAAGCTGCCCCTTTCTGTCAAATGAAGATGAGACGTATTTACCATGTCTGGGTACCCCTCCAGGTAGTTCTATACTCAGAATTTTATTTTATTCTGTACTTTGGGGAATAAAATTTCTTTCCTCATGAACAGGTGCAAACATTCTTCAAAGACAGGGAATCCAAGGGACTCTAGGTTTGCCCAATGTTGGTTCTTGCTAGAAACTAGAGGCAGAGAACAATTATGAGTGGTTATTACTGTTGTTGGTTGTTGCATTCTTGCTCTCTGTCCCGATGAGACATAGTTATGCCCGAGTCATACTTCATATTCATCTATAGGAACATCTGGCCCATGTCTAACATTTAATTTCCACACCATTAGAGTCAAACAATACATGTACATCAGTAGATAATGTAATGCATTATCACGCAAGGCAGAGAGTAGCAATTTATTAGCCTAATTTAAAATAGCCTTCAGCAAAAAATAGTGCATCTTAATTTGGAGTTCTGAATGGAATGACATGTTTTCCAGTATAATTCAAAGGTATATACTCAGACATGCTTTGGAAAAACTTTCCTGCATATATTATCTTCTGCCTTATTCAAGGGTGAAATATCAATTCTGTTTTTATGTTCTAAACCAATTTCATCCATAATAATACAATAAGAGATAACAACCTTAGGAGAAGAGGAAAAGTGGAATTCCTTGGAACATTAGTAGACCCCACATCTTTATTTCTCAGAAATCACAACTTGAATCTGAAGGTTACTCTGAATTTCTTAGCACATATTTAAAAATCACTGAACATTGCTTGCTTTGAATGCAACATGAATTTTGTTTCTGTTTCATCTCTTAAAGATGTTTTCATTATGAATTTAAGCATATAGGCAATAAATATAGAGTTTTAGTATGTCTTTGTGGGGGGATCTTGTAACTTTTATAATGATTTAAGTGGCATAATATTAGAAAATAACTTAAAGTATGCAGCTGACACAAATTGTTTTTGTTATTTAAAAAAAAAAGACATTTCAAATTTCTTCTCAGTTCTTAGTTGTGAAAGCTATTCTCTAGTGTCTTGACACACAAACCTGATACAGAAAGATGCACAGTGCTTTAAACACTGAAAGGGAATTTCCATTCCCCTAAATGCTATAAATGAAAATAATTTTAGTATAGACTTAGCATAGAGATGGTAGTATACATGTAGAGACTTAGCACAGAGATGGTAGTATGCATTCTGATTTCTGTATTCTCACTAAACATAGTCACTAGGCATGTTGTATCTGACAATTCAGTTTCAAAAGCAACAGGGAAATTTTGTCATCTCGGGGTCCTCAGGTCACATTTAATCCACTATTGAATCTGCTTTCACTACTATACTTCAAGGTTCATGGTCAGACTTTATGGGGAATTCATCTATCATTTGTGAGAGTTCACTGATTAATGGAAGAAGTAAGAAATACACAAAAATACCTTGGGAACTTGATATAAAATGCTACACCATTACAAAACTGAAAAATTAAAAAGATTGGAGTGAGGTGGAAGAGAAAGCGATTATTTCTGACTGTGGTCAACAGAAAGTCTTCATGAAAAGAGCTGATTTTATGCTGAAGTTGGACAAGAGACTGACCTATACTAGATATGCTCAGTGATGTGGCCTAAAAGGCAAGATCCTGGTTTGCAAATAGAGCGTTGAGGTGCTGGGTGTTGTGGCCCAGCAGGTTAATCTGTAGCTTGGGCACCCACATCCCACATGGGAGTGCCGGTTCCAATCCCGGCTACTCTGCTTCTGATCCAGCTTCCTGAGCAGCAGCACATGGTGGCCCAATTACTTCCACCCAGATGGGAGACCCAGATGGAGTCCCTGGCTACTAGCTTCAGCCTGGTCCAGCCTTAGCTTTCGCCAGCATTTGGAGAGTGAAACTGCAGATGAAAGATCTCTCTCTCTCTCTCTCTCTCCCCCTCTTTCTCTCTCTCCCCCGTCTCTCTCATCCTCTCTTTCTCTCTCTGCCTTTCAAATTTATATATGTGAAATATTTGACATTGTTCACCTTACATAAATTTTAAAATAATAAATAAGTCTTAAGAAAGTCACTGAGACCACTAGACTAAGTCTAGTGTGCCAGACTTAATATAGACCCCACTCCTTCCAAGTCCCTGCATCACTATCAGACTTTCTCCTAACAATACTAAACTTTAGCTTGTATTCACCAATTAGGTTAGAAATGTTTGCACCTGTTCAGCTCTTGTAACCTTCTGTCTGAAACCTACAATGCATTGATGATTTGTTCCCTCTATTCCACTCTTGTGCTGGATCATACAACCAGTTTGGTTTGGTATTAGGACAACCTCCACTATGAATAGTGTGGGAGCAAATATATAAACCATCCAAGACAGCAGTGACTTTCACTGTAATCCCCAATTACCTTAGCTATCTAGGGAACTGGAACTTTAACCTTTACAATTTGAACTCTCATGACCCGTAGTTAACCTTGATAGTCTTCAAATCATTTGTGGTTCCCACTACATCATTTTATCTCAGAAGCCTTGAGTTTATCACATATCTAGGACACATTGTCAGCAATCTTAAATACCTATTCACCTTTGTCTTACCCTATCCAATCCCTGACTCAAGGTTAGATATGTAACTTGGGTCCCACAGTTTTCTTAAGTTTTCAAAATCTGGGTATGTATATAGCCCTGATTGTCATTTTTCTGCTGTATGTTATAAAAAGTGTAATATGATAAAATACATTTAAAATAAGGGTAAGAAATGTAAAGTAGGAATCAAGCTGCCTAATATCCTTTCTCCAGCCCTATTGTTGTTTCCCATAGATATTGACTCTTAAATGTCTATAATTTTAATTTTCTGTGATTTTTACTATACGTATGAGGCTTTAGATAACCTAGAAAAATTCATTGTAGAAAGAACAGGAATTGAGGCCGGCGTCGCCATAGCTCAATAGGTTAATCATCCGCCTTGTGGCACCGGCACACCAGGTTCTAGTCCCAGTCGGGGTGCCGGATTCTGTCCTGGTTGCTCCTCTTCCAGTCCAGCTCTCTGCTGTGGCCCAGGAAGGCAGTGGAGGATGGCCCAAGTGCTTGGGCCCTGCACCCGCATGGGAGACCAGGAGAAGCACCTGGCTCCTGCCTTCGGATCAGCGCGGTGCGTGGCTGCAGCGCGCTGGCCGTGGCGGCCATTGGAGGGTGAACCAAGGGCAAAAGGAAGACCTTTCTCTCTGTCTCTCTCACTGTCCACTCTGCCTGCCAAAAAAAAAGAACAGGAATTGAGTACACTTACTTGAGTCTTCGATTTTTCGATTTTCATTTAACTTATATTATCATTTTCAATTCTTCAAATGCCCATCTTCAAAATTTCAAATGATATCAGTCCTTCAATTTCAAAATTTTCTTCTTCTTCTTCTCCATAAATACTTGAATACCCACAATGAAAAAATACTGTAAGAGACTGTGGTAATTAAATTATGAGGCAAAATAGATACAAATCCTGGAAGTTACCACTTAATGAAAAAGACAAATATCAATCAGTATTAAAAGCAGAAAGAAATTGCAATGAAAAGGACTGCCCAAAAGAAATTCATAAAGTTATGTGAATTTGCTGTAAAGCGGTCAGGGATGATTTCTCAGGAGAGGTTAGCCTAGATTAGAGATCTGAAGGATGAGTAGGATTTAACTGTGGGAAAAACGTAGCAAGAGGATTGCAGGAAGTGGAACAACTTGTGAAAATGCCCTGTGGAGAGAAGTCATGATGAGTGCTGGATGAAAAACTTGGTGGGACTCCAGTGGAGAATGTCAAGAGGTACAGGGAGGTGAAGCAGAAAAGATAAATACAGACTTGCCATGTGCAGCTTGCAAGCTTTGTTGAGAAAATTGGCCTTCAATGTAAGAGAAAGGTTGTATGTCTTTATTGGCCTTTGTGGCTATATTGCCGGTTTTATCATTGTCCTCCATTGAATCAGTAGCTGACTGCATATTTTGCATACATGGGTAGCATGTGCATCATGGCATGACTGATTTTTGTGGGCAAAAAATAGAACAGGTAGCTTGTTGAGGGGCCAGTCCATATGGATGAACTTTCTGCTATGCAAATGTCATCAGTTACACTAGACCTACTTTATCGTTTCCTTCTCTTGTTCCTATCTTTAAAAAAAAAAGCTTGGCTATTGGAAGGTTCACATTAGTCTTTGCTCCACTTTTTCATGTGCCAGCACCCACACCATGGTCCTAATAGACTGTTTCATTTCCTTACATGACAGCTCTCTTGATGTACCATAGGATACACATTCCTGCTATATGATTGGAGATCGGTTTAGGGTGGTGAAATGTTACTGTCCCAGTCATGTCATAGTAGGTTAATTAATTCCTTGATTCCCACCACAGCCCACTCTATGTTCACTTCTTGACAAATCTGATCACATAGCCTTTTACTCTCTCATCAGAGAGATCTTCCCCTACTACTGTGTCATCTCACTCTATTCTGGTGGCTTATCAATTAGTAAGCTTTCTCCTCCTTTCTTGGTAGATGCTGAATCAAAAGATGCTTTATTGATTGGGATAGGATTTTAAGCAAAAGAAATATTTATTATATCATTGTTCTTTTAATTAGCATTTGATTATCTAGTTTGCAGACCCTTATAGGTGCTGAGTAGAAGAGTCATCATTCCAGTATGTTAGAATACAGGAGGATTTATATAATTGTGGAGGACTTAAAACATTGAAGACAGGGAGAAATAAATGAGCATGCTGTGAATTGCTGCAGAATAAAATTTATGACCTAACTATTTCAAAATAGGTTGGCCTGTTGAGTGATGAATGCCAACAAAAGACTACAGGACTCCATTCCCAAGCCTTGGGTGTAGATTGAAATTGCTAAATCTGGGAGGCTCAAGAGCCTAAGGGTAACAGAAATGGAGCTAATGCTAAATTGGACGGGATAGTGCTTCAGGGTCTCCCCAGGTGCTGCCTTGGGCTTCTCTGTAAGCTATTATATAGCACCCAGTGTGCATTAGTTGGCTATTACTCTGCAATAAATTACCACAAAACCAGCAATCTAAACAACACAAATAATTCTTCTACAGCTTATGTGGGCCACAAGTCCAAGAATAGCATGACTGACTTCTCTGCTCAGGGTTTCAAAAACCTGATGGTGTTAGCCAGACTGAGTTCTCACTTGGCGACTCGGGTAAAATCTACTCCAAATCTCATTCATCTTGTTGGCATGCTTCAATGTCTTTCAGTTATAGGCTCAATGTCTTTGTGGCTGCTATCAGTTCCTAGAAGCCACCTGATCATGTGTACCCCGCCATACTCCTGTTCTCTATTGCTAGTCAAGTCTTAACCAGCTTCAAGCCTTTGACTTTGTCTTCATCCTCTAGAGCCAGACTTGAAGGGCTCAAGTGGTTGTGTCAGCTCCATCCAAATAATCCCCCTTTTGTTGAACTCACAGTCAATGCATTTGTAATGCTGATTGCATCGCAAAAATCCCTTTCACTGTGTAACTTGAAAGTAGGATGTTCTATCATATTCAAAGGTTCCTCTCTCATTTAAAGGAAGGGAACTATATTTCACTATGAAATCTTTGGGGAGCCTCTTAGAATTATGACTATCATGTGGGGTCTCTGAAACTGTATTTGTCATGCCACC